TCACAAAACCACATCCACTTCTAAACTGTTCTGTAGTGCTGCTGTGTGCTATTAAACAGCTGCTGAATTTTAGAAGTGGCACAAGATGCTTTGGGATGAAATATAAAATGCTGAGTAAAATAGAGATACATTATTGAAGTTATTGGATCAAATATTACTCAGTTATCCACGCATGACCACCATAAATTGGGTGGAGTTGCATGGGTGAAACTGAAAATAGAATCTAGACAGTTAAATTTTGTTGCATAAAAATACATAAAACTACACTTTAATGTGTTTGCAGTCATCACATTTTTGGTAGTATCTCCTGGGTCTATAGCCCTTGATTTTATCTGTGCATTTGAGAACATAATTAAGCCTGCAGAAAGCATTGCCAAAAATATAATTCAGACTAGATCTGAACAGAAATAAAAAAATCCATTTATAAGGACAAGAAAAACATCCACAGTTAAATTAGCAAGCATTTTTAAAAATGATACAAATCTTCATGCTTCAAGGAGCAACCTAACTTCTAACTGAGAGGGCTTAGGAAGAAATTCCCCATACAGTTTATGTCACAACTGCCTATTATGGGTTCTTTCCTTGCACCTTATATTAAAACTTCTAATACTGTCAACTGTGACAAACAAGATATTGGACTAGAAAGATCACCGGGCCAGTTCTGTTTCTCATCATGACCCCCTTTCCCTTTCCTGGTATATTTCTATATGGCTCTTTTCTCACTCTAATTCTAAAATATAAAATGCACCAATTTAACTAAATCATGTTTTAAATAAATGCATTTTTTCCTATCTGATTCTAGGCTCAGAAATGTTTTCTTTCTTAAGCCCAGGCCTTCTCTACTACTATTTCTGGGCCACAATCACTCTGCTGCTGGGGCCAATCCCCTCTGCTTTATTTCCTTTTTGTACCAAAAGTTTTACATGTTCTCATATTCTATTTCAAGACACCTTTTAACTTAGCTCTGTCCATCACCTATATTTCAACTGACTAAACTATCTGGCTGTTTGGTTGTTCACAACATCACCACTTGCCTCTACTTCATAGAATCCTACTTTTTTAGTACTAAGTAGTCCTGTTTCAAAACATTTTGCCAAAACTGGCCCTACTAAAAATGTGAAGGAGCCAAGCTATTTCACATCTATGTCAAAGATCTTAATTTTGGGAGGACATTTCAAACCAACAAACTGAAATAGATCCTCTCCCATCCAAATTAAATGCTTATACAAGGTCATCTCAATATAATCTCCAAAGCATGTTTACTGTGCTAGGCCCAGATCCTGCAAAAGCAGTTTTGGGCTGTGTCTAGACTACATGGCTCCATTAACGGAGCCATGTAGATTAGGATTGTAGGCAAAGGGAAATGAAGCGGCAATTTAAATAATCGCCGCTTCATTTAAATTTAAATAGCTGCTGTGCTGAGCCGACAAACAGCTGATCAGCTGTTTGTCAGCTCAGTGCGCTAGTCTGGACGCTCCGCGGTCAACTTCAAAGCCCTTTGTCGACCGCCCCGTTATTCCTCGTGGGATGATCAGCTGTTTGTCGGCTCAGCGCGGCAGCCATTTAAATTTAAATGAAGCGGCGATTATTTAAATTGCCACTTCATTTCCCTTTGCCCAATAAACAAATCTACATGGCTTCGTCGACAGAGCCATGTAGTCTAGACATACCCTTACAGGCAGACACATATTTATACCTGTTGAGATATCTTGGTAGGATGAAGGACTTTGAACAGACTGGAAAAACACATACGTTTATGTTCCTGTGTGAACTTAAACAACCACCCAGGCATCTTTATATGGAATGTGTGTATTTCATGTCATGCACTTAATCAGACTGACTGTACCAACATATAGTTTAGGAATTTCTGTAACGCTAAGACTTAAAGATTCTTTTAGGGTATGTCTACACTACCCCGCTAGTTCGAACTAGCGGGGGTAATGTAGTCATCTGCAGTTGCAAATGAAGCCCGGGATTTGAATTTCCCGGGCTTCATTTGCATGAAGCTGGCTGGCGCCATTTTTAAATGCCGGCTAGTTCGAACCCCGTGCCGCGCGGCTACACGCGGCACGGAGTAGCTAGTTCGGATTAGGCTTCCTCCACGTGGAACAAGGGTACAGCTAGTTCAGATTAGGAAGCCTAATGGTTAGAGTTGGGTGAAAAATGGAAAAAAATCCACAGGATTTTGCATTTCTCTCTGAAATTCCTGATGAGCTGTATTTACTGTTGGATCTCCTTTGTTTGGCACCTTCAAGACCTGACCCATCCCGAATGAGGGAATTTTCTGGATATGGGGAGATCCCCTGCCACTAGCCTCCCAGGACACTCCCCCTCCCTGCAATTGGCTCTGCTCTGGCCCCACAGCCACTGGGTTCCAGCCTGCAAGGTTTAGACTTGGTCTCCGGCCTGCTGGAGCTCCCCAGGATGGAGTTCCCCAGCCTCTGCTGCCCTGCTTCTGCCCCACCCAACCTGGGATCCCCACCTGGGATGGGGCTCGCCTGTCCCACTGCTGCCTTGCCAGCCAGGGCTCCCCAGGGATGGGACTAGTTGGCTGCCCAGCTCTTGCCATTCACCAGTCCCAGAGTTAGCTCCCCCACCTCCATGGCTGTGTTTCTCCTCTGCCCGACCAGGGATCCCCTCTGGGACAGGGCTTTCCTGTCCCGTTGCTGCCTTGCTCAGCTAGGGATCTTTGGGATGGAGCTCCCCAGCCGCATGGCCCCCCTGACCAAGGCTCCCCAGGGACATGGTTCGCAGTCCCGCGTGCTGGAGCTCTGATCCAACAACATCCGTGGTCCTGCTGGAGCACAGATGTTACTGAACCAGTGAATCCTGGATTTTGGAGGTTCACCCTGTATATATACAAAATGCAGGAAATTCAAAGGTATGATTTTTAGAGAAATAGTCAGTTGAGTACAGTACGTGGCATGTCCAGTACATATACACATATATAAACTAGCAAACAAAAGAACAAAAATTTGCTCTGACTGCCAAGGGAAAATCCCTGACAATAAAATACTAGGCCCTCAACTAAAGCCCACTGAAGTCAATTGAAGTCTGCCCATTGATTTCAATGGGCTTTGGATCAGGCCCTAAAATGAGGTTGAATAATCTTGCCAAAGAAATGGTGCAAGTTACATTGCCTAATATATTTAACATTGGACTAGTCAATCATGTAACTGATGTTCATTAGAGAATAACCCCTAAAATGGATAGCTTAAGGTGTATTTTTCCATCTCTCGTTTCCATGAATTTATGATTTATTACTACTACTGCTACTATTACTAAAATTGTCTAGCAGTTGAATATTCCCAGAATCACTAAGTGACTTCCTCATATTATTTCCAAATCTGCAATGAAGAAGCCACATTTGAGACTCTCTGGAGCACACCAAATATTAATGTCACAGAACAGCTGGCATTAAATGTTCTCAGCTGTGTTTACTTAAATGGTTAGTCCCACAGGGCAGGGACCTTGTCTTTTATTTGCCTGTAAAGTGCAGTGCATGCCCAGGATATTATACAAATTATTGTCAGAAATACGATACTTGGAACACAACCACATTTTGTAGGGTAGGCTGCTAACTGTATTTGTGTCTGACAGTGAAGGTGATAACAAGTATGTTGATGAGATGCTCAGATGGTGCATTGGTGATTCCCCTAGGCTAAAAGCTAATCCAATATGATAGAAGAGAAAAGAAAATACAGTAATTCGGCTGCTTGACTACATATCAATGAAAATATGTATGCCTTATCTTTCTGCTCATTCTGGAAAGTAATCTTATTTTGATCAATAAGATGTTACAAAAAAAGGCAGTAAAAGTGGAGAAGAATTTCTCTTTGAGACGGAATAGCAAAATTAATTACTTTAAGTGCCTTTAGATGCCAATATCTTCTGTAACTTGGTACATCTGCAAATCAAGAGCAATCACTGCTGCCATGCTTTTGAAGTGAGCAAGCAGAGTATCTGACAAATCTTTCAAAGATTTTTTTTCTTCTCCAAATAAAGTCCATCTAGATAGTGATGGGGTTCGACGATAGGGTGCAGTTATACTTAATGCTTGATATTAACAGTGTAACAAGGAAATGTAAACTGCGATAATTCATAATCTCTTGTTCAAACAGTGATAGTAACATTTTGCATCACAGTAAAAAATTAATCATTCAAAGAAACAGACAAATACTTGATATGAATGTTAAAACAAAAGGAAAAACTATGTAGCACTT